GGGGGGGGGGCGTTGCCGTTGAGCGGTCCTCGGCGTGCGAGCGCTGTGTGCGTGTATTCCGGGGGGAGGATCAGCGTGTGTGCGTGTGCGTGTGCGTGTGCGTGTGCGTGTGGGCATGCGGTTGTAGAGTGTGAGCCTGCGTGGGTGTTTGTGTGCTGATGCCGTGTGCACCTCCAGGCGCCCGGGCGGCGGCCGGACGGCCAGGCAGGCAGCCGAGGCGGGCGACCTGCCGTGTTCGAGGGTATCGAGACGATGTTCAAGGGCGGACGGGGGCGCCAGGCTGTCGAGGCCGCACCCGGAGCATTGATGCCCGGCTGCGAGCGGCGGGCCCTGCATGCGCTCGTGGTCCGGCGGCCCCCGAGATAGCGCAAGAGTGGGAGAATATTCCGACAGGGCCGACACGCGCGCCGGCGCATCCGCAGCCCGGCGCATGAGCACATTCGCCTGTCGCTGGACCTACATGTGGGCTAGTGCTGTCTGGCATGCAGGTGCGGGGTGGCGGGGTGGGGGAAAAAGGCGGCTTCGAAGCCCACACTGGAGCCCTCCGGCGCTCCGGCATCCCGTTGAGGTATCGCATTCCGAAGGGCGCGTCCTGTGGCGGGCGGAGATCCGTTGAATGCCGGATGATGGGTGCCTGGGGGGCGGGGGGGGGGGGGGGGGGGGGGGGGGCGGCCAAGGCGCGGTGAGCGGGGCGGCCGCGCTATCGAGCGGGCCCTCTGGAAAAGCGCCGCCGAAGGCATCCCCGCAGGGCGACGTGCCGCCTGGCCGGAGGCGGGTGCGCCTGCCCTCGTCCAGCCCGGCGGCCGCGCCGTCCACCTGCCCCGACACACCGGGAGGCCTCGCCCTCTCTCTCTCTCTCTCTCTCTCTCTCTCGCTCTCTCTGCCCTGTGATGGCCCAGACGCTGCATCAGGTGGGGGGCGGTCTTATCTTGGCTTGCCCGCCCTGTCTTCCGGGATCTGATAAGACGGAGGGCGGGGGGGTGGGGGGAGCGTGAGCGTGCGCGCGCGCGCGCATCTTGGGGATCTCCACTGTCGTGGGCATAGAGCGCGGGTTCGCCCGGAGCAGCGCCGGGAGATGGGGCGCCCGAAAAATACCCCAGCGCCAATCGGCGCCCTATGTGAGAAGGACCTATTCCTCGATATTCGAGGCCCCCCCCGGCCCTCGGGCTCCCCCCCCCCCCC